GATTTATTTATCAAATTAAATATTCATGAGACTAGAATTATTGAGATTGATTTATAACATTTTCATTATTTATGTTTGATTTTTCATCTCTCTTTATATATTTATATATATATATATATATATATATATAAAGAGAGAGAGAGAGAGGTTTACTTTGCAAACCATGTTATTTGTACAAACCGTATAAAACTCATTCAATCAATCATAATTTTTCATTTTATTCATTTTCTTTTGTAATTATGAGAGGTTGATTAATCATTTTTTATTGTACAGGGTGTTAATCATGGATATTATCATTGTCATTATTTTAATTTTAGAGAAATACATGAAACAGTTTCATTAAAATTTCGTTATGTATTATATGAAACAATTTCATAACCATATATGAAACAATTTCATAACCATATATGAAACAACTACATCAAAAAAAAGTATTATATGAAACAATTTCACAAGATTAAACAATTTCATGAAAAAATTTAATAAGATTAAACAATGAAATCGATGGATGATGGTGGCTTGTACGGTTTGTACAAATTGTGTGGTTTAAATTTGATCACTCCTATATATGTATGTATATATATATATATATATATAAAGAGAGAGAGAGAGAGAGAGAGGGGTTGGTTATTATACAACCCTTGACATTTGTGTAACCAATACAACTCAATCTCAACTGTCCATTTCATTTGATTAATATGTGATTTCATAAAAGTTTTGATTGTTTTTTAATATAAAGTATTGATCATAATTAATGAATCATATTCATCTTCCATAAACATTCAAATCATAATAAATGAACTCTCATCATTTCTATAAATATCTCAATTTATTGGGTTGCATTGGTTGTACAAATGTGATGAGTTGTATTTGAAACAAACTCTCTCTCTCTCTCTCTCTATATATATATATATATGTATGTATGATAATTGATACAAATAACTTGGGGCCAACGAATTGCTTTCTATATAACTTATCTCTTTCCATATATATATATATATATATATGATAATTGATACAAATAACTTGGGACCAACGAATTACTTTCTATATAACTTATCTCTTTCCATATATATATATATGGCTTAATAGTTTAACTTCTCTCTTTCTATATGGCTTCAATGTTCTTCTTTCTCTGTTCAATTTTTCATTACAAAAATCTTGTTGCCGCAACTAGAGGTTTCAATGTTTGCAAAGCAGGTGGTTGCCCTAGGATTAGTCGGCTCACATAACGGGTTGGATATCCAGGTTAATCAAAAAAAAAACATTTGCAAGCTATTATGTTCATCAAATTCTACGACAATAGCCGTCTCTGTAGCGGATCCCATCGGTTTGACAATCAACAAACTTAATTACACATGCAGAAAGAAGATTACGAGGCAAGAACATATAGTTTGAAGAAAGAAGTGAAGACGATGATACAGAAAGTAACGGGCAATCCATTGAACAGCCTTGCGTTGGTTGACAATTTGCAGAGACTCGGAATATCGTATCATTTTAAGGAAGAAATAAATCATGTCTTGGAGCTGATTTACGATGATCACTTCAAAACTCA